TTCTAGGAAAGAAAAACTCAATTATGGTAAATATGTTGTCCTTTCCTTCATGAGATAGAAAAACCAATTATGGTAAGAAAATCTGGACAAACACCTAACAATTCTCCCTCTTGGCCTGAATTTTCTGACAAAATAAACTTGATCTACCTTCTTCACATAGCCTTTAAGAGGTCGTATCTCCAAATCTCCGCCACAAAGTTTGTCTCAACGTGCGCAGCACACCGGTCAAATTTCTCAGATAAAAATCATGATTATCGTCAAATATGTTGCGGCTTGAACTAAACCCGCCAAGATGATCCTGTCTTGAACTTCGCTCTGATAGCACTTGTTAGGAACGAAAAAAGTCAGGTGTCATGCGGAATCTAGCAAAACAAACCTTGAACGGCCATAAGTCCAAGAGCAAAAGAGAAATCTACCAAAAGAGACACAAACATTTAACGTGGTTCGGTCAACTGACCTACGTCCACGGTGGAGATGAGCAATCCACTATAATAAAAGGAGAGTACAAAATATCGAGAGAACAACCTCACGAAGAGGCAAACACAAGTGACACACTAACACTTGTCCCATAAAGTTCTCCCCCTAAACAAGACTCTCAAGCCCCTTATGGCTACATTGTGGATGCTACTAAATGAGAAGGAAGGATCCTCTATTTATAGAAGCCCAAACATTTTCCTACAAGAAAAGGGACTAGCCAAACATGGAAGAATTATATTTTCCTTTTAGGAAAAGAAAAACTGAATTATGGTAAATATGTTGTCCTTTCCTTCATGAGATAGAAAAATCAATTATGATAAGAAAATATAGACAAACACCTAACACATTTACCCATAGGATATAGAGCATATATTACTCATACTACCTGTGCATCCTTATTTGGAAACACAACTGTGAGCAATGTGTTGGTTGTCCCTGATTTTAAGTATAACTTGCTATCCTCCAAATTGACCAAAGAACTGTCATGCTCAGTCAATTTTTTCCCTGGATTCTATGTCTTTCAGGAGCTTTGGAGTGGTAGGGTGAAGGGGATTACTAGGCAAAGAGGAGATTTGTACATAACAAAGATGGCAGATACTAGTAAGCATAGTATACAACATCCAATAAGAACAACAATTCAAAAGGAGGACAACAACTTATGGCACAACAAGCTTGGACATCCATTTGCACCAGTGATGGAATCTATGAAGTTGTCACATGATCATGTAAATAGTCCACAATTGAATAAGTGCATAATTTGCCCTTTGGCGAAGCAAGCTATGTTGATGTTTCCAAGTAGTGATTCTAAAACTGATGCACCTTTTGACACTGTACATATGGATATTTGGGGGCCTTATAAAACGGCTACTTTTGACAACAAGCATTATTTTTTGACTGTTTTGGATGATTATAGTAGGTATACATGGATCTATCTGTTGCAGCTTAAGTTTGAAGCTATTGTGGCCATTAAATCTTACTTGTCCACAGTAAAAACATAGTTTGGTGTTAAAGTCCTTAGGACAGACAATGGCATTGAGTTTTTTAACTCACGGTGCAACACTTTACTTCAGGATTCAGGCATACTTCATCAGAGTAGCGGTGTTCACACACCCCAACAGAATGGGGTGGTTGAAAGAAAGCATAGACACATCTTAAATATAGCCGGGGCACTCACATTTCAATCCAAAGTGCCAAATAGATATTGGGGTATGTGTATCAAGACTGCAGTCTACCTTATGAATAGGCTCTGCTACAATTGGGAACAAAAGTCCCTATGAGCTATTGTTCCAAAGGCAGGCAACATTGCATCATTTAGTGTGTTTGGGTGTCTATGCTTTGCAACTACAGTTCCTAAAGGAGACAAGTTTGAAGAGAGAGCAAGGCCAGCTGCTCTTTTGAGTTATTCAGAGTTGCAGAAAGGCTACCTTCTCCTAGATCTCAAAACAAATCAGTTGTTTGTTATCATAGATGTCATATTCAGAGAAGATGAATTTCCCTTTGCTACTACATACTTAAATAAACAGTTTACAAATGAAACTGTCAACCTAGATCAATCCTCACCTCTTGACCAACCTCATAATACATATCACACCCTGCCAAATATCCCTCATGACATACCACACAATTCACCAGTCTCTTCCCATAACAATGACACTTTACCTACCTCTTCTGCTACTGATCCTAATTCATTTGACATGGCTCTGGAGCATGAAGGGGGAGATGACTTCAATGAGGAAGGATCGACATCTTTTACTGATCCTGGTCATGGTCCGTTAGATGAAGTTCATGCTCCAGTCACCAGAAAGTCTTCAAGGGATTCCAAACAACCTGTTTGGATGAAGGATTATATAACCACCAAACAAAGCACCAGTAAATATCCCATTTCCAACCACCTATCTTATGACAATATTAAACCAACATATCAAGCCTATCTTGCAAAGTTCTCTACATTGGTGGAGCCTAAGTGCTATAGAGATGCTGCACAAGACACCAGATGGATGAAGGCAATGAAGCAGGAGATCAAAGTGGTAGAAGAGAATGGAACATGGTAAGATGTAGATCTTCCAAAAGGAAAAATGCAATAGGCTCAAAATGGGTGTACGAGATCAAATACCAAGTAAATGGAGAAATTGAAAGGTTCAAGACCAGACTTGTAGCAAAAGGCTACAGTAAAAACGAAGGCCTTGATTATCATGATACCTTCTCACCAATTGTTAGGATGGTGACAATAAGACCAGTCATAGCACTTGCAGTATCTAGAGGCTGGACCTTATGGCAAATGGATGTATACAATGCCTTCCTACAAGGAGATCTATGTGAAGAAGTGTATATGGATATGCCTGAGGGATTCAGAAGACAGGGGGAGTCAAGAGTGTGCAGGTTGCTCAAGTGCTTATATGGACTAAAGTAGGCATCTAGATAATGGAACATAAAGTTAACAAATGCATTGGTGAATGCAGGATTTGTCCAAAGCAGTTATGATTATTCATTGTTCACACCGAAATTCTAATGACATAGTGATTGTTTTAGTGTATGTTGATGATTTACTCATCACATGGAACAGTATTGAGCTGATTAATGAGGCAAAGACGGTGTTGAATAAGAAATTCAAAATGAAAGATCTTGGTGAATTAAAATACTTTCTTGGCATTGAAGTGGTAAGATCAAGATCATGAGTGACTCTCAACCAAAAGAAGTATGTGCTAGAGTTGATCTAAGATATGGGACTAACTGCAAACAACCAGCCAAGACACCTTTAGAGTCCAATTTGAAGCTAACGAATGTGGAGTATGATAAAATTGCAAGAATCACGGGAGATGCAGCCCTACAGGACATCAATTCATACTAGAGATTGATAGGGAGACTGATGTATGTAACTGTCACAAGGCCTAACATTAACTATGCAGTTCAGACCTTGAGTCAGTTTATGCAAATGCCCAAGAAATCCTAGCGGGAAGCTACAACAAGGTTAGTAAGATACTTGAAGAATTCACCGGGACAAGGCATTTGGTTGAAGGCAGGAGTCACACAAGAGTTGACATGTTGGTGTGACTCTGATTGGGCAGCATGTCCAAACACAAGAAGATCAGTGACATGATACATAGTCAAGTTTGGAGACTCCTTGGTCTCATGGAAATCAAAGAAACAACAAACAGTCTTTAGAAGTTCAGCTGAGGCAGAGTATAAAAGCATGGCTCCAGCTATGGCAGAATTGACCTGGTTACATGGACTATTTAAGGAGCTAGGAGTTAGCATACATAGTCCAATGACTGTGTTTAGTGACAGTAAAGTTGCTATGCAAATTGCAGCCAATCCCATCTTTCACAAGAGAACGACACATATAGAGATAGACTGTCACTTTATTAGAGACAAAATCAAGGCAGGGCTAGTGAAGACTTCGTATATACATACTACAGAACAACTTGCAGATCTTTTGACCAAGGGCTTAGGCCAAGTTCAGCATGTTCATTTGGGGGTTCTTAACATTTTACACCCTCCAGCTTGAGGGGGAGTGTTGAGAGGTCAATATAATAGTGAGGAAGTGCGGTGTATCTTACATGTGCTGCACGTGGTTGTTAGAGGTTAGTTATTAGGTAATTAGAAATGACAACTGTATTAATTATTAGTAGTTAGTGGTAGATAGAGGTGTGTGTTAGTAGTTGTATATATAGTTTTGAAGATCAATGAAACAATAGACGGTTTTCATTTCAGTTCTCTGCCTCATCCTCCTCATCCTCCTCCTCCTTCTTCTCCTCCTCCTCCTCCTCCTCCTCCTCCTCCTCCTCCTCCCTCTTCTTCTTCTTCTTCTTCTTCTTCTTCAATGAAGCTCTCCTTTCTCTAATGGCTGATTTTCGTCCCAGCCTCTATGAATTTCACCAGATTATTTTGTAAGGAAAGATTGTGGGATTAAAAGTGTATTTATAGACTTCGTAGCACTGTTTCTGAAAAGGTTTGCAACCTTTCAGAAACAACCATGGTTGTTGGGAAAATTTCTGTTTGAAATATTGCAAAAAATTTAAAATAATCCGGGAAAAAATATGGGCCGAACCGAACCTGGTCGCGGGTCATAGGTTTCATGGGTTATTCCGGAATGAATTAAATAATTGAAAGGAATTTTGTCCAAAATGATTAATCAATCAATCTTTGACCAAATCCGAAGCCGAAGCCGAACGAGCGACGCGCGAGGCTTGCCTTCTTCTTAACTCTTTAAGAGCTAGAAGAAAAGCAATTTTATATATACCCATTAAAAATCTTTTCTTCCTTCAATATGGGACAATGTCCCTTTGCCAAGGAGGTAAAAATCAAATATTTCATTTTCCCCTCCATTTCCCATTCACCCTCTTTTAAGTTACACCAAGATTAAAAAGCCCAACAGTGAGGGCAAACATTGTCTTGGAAAAATTGTTAAAACTTTCCGTTGAGAGTTTGTGGTGTTATGTTCAATTTATATAGTTTAGGGGGTAGCGAACTCTCAAGTATTTTTAGGGTTGGTGGATAGAATCCCAATTTGATAAAGGGCCTAACACAAAAAGTTCTCCATAGAAGGCAAACTTTTCAATTTTAAGAACATCATTGGACTGAACATGCAAATTATCATCTTCTCCTAATTTCAAAACTTCTCATAAATTTGGCGCCTTTTCCCACCATTATCAGACGCTTCCAGCAGAATCTTCATCTCAGAAACCCTAGCAGAAGAAGAAAGAAAACCAAAAATGGTTCTTCTCCAGAACAACCAAGCCGCTTCTCGTAAGCGTCCAGCGGTGAAATCCAAAACGGGATTTGTTCCTCCTTTTGCTCCGCCCGCCAAAATCCCCAAATCCGCTGAGGAAAATGTTCCCCAAATAGCTTCGGAATCCGAACCGCCAAAGTTAGGGAAATCACAAACCGCGAGTTCGACTGAGAAAATGATATCAGTTCTAGCGGATGCAGGCTGCACACTGATCAACCCGTCGGGTCCGCCATGTTTACCGTCCGACCTTCATAAGCTTCGGAACAGTCTCAACCGTCTCTTCTCATCCGATTCCTCTCTAAAGTCTGAGTTCGTTCAAGGCTTATCGTCTTACATTAACTCTCCCGGTAACCTTCGACGGTAAGCCTGCGGAACTGCTCTTTTTATTTCTCCATTCGTCTCATTTTACTAGATATGAATTGGCGTAGAATTTTACAAGAAATTTTTTACTTCTATATTGCACTATTAAGTAAATGTAAAGCATCATAGCGCGTCCATGGAAGTTACATCATTGTCTGAGGTTAAATTGGGTAGATGAATTCCGAAATTTGCAAAATTCGAGGGTTATATAACTACGAAAACAAATAGGTTTATTAAGAAATGAGAAAGCTATAATTATACTGGAAGGAGTTATACACACGCCAGCATAAGGAACTTTCACACCATTAGGTCATTTTTAGGTGTTGTAGCAGCTAACTTTTTTTATTTTCAAAATTACAAATCCCACATTTTAAGGAGGCGTACCTATATATATATATAT